TTTTTTTTTTTTTTTTTGTACCAGGGATTGAACTTGGGTCCTTGCACTTGCAAGTCACGCAGTGGAACCACCGAGATAAATCCCCAGCCTTTTTTAAAAATTGAGTTTATTGGTACATTTTAGTATACAGCACAGTTACATTCATCATTGGGATCTTGTACCTTTACATGACAGGTCTTGGTTCTCATTTTTTCCCCTTGTCCCTGCCCTCCTTTCACCTCTTCCTTCCCTCCCCATTTACAAACACTTTATTTCCATTTTTTCATTTTCTCATATTTTTTTCTTTTCCCTTATTCCCTTTTCCCTACCCTCCCTACTTTCCCTACAACTTTAGCCCTTTTCTTCCTATTTCACGTTGTCAATTGCTTTCCCAATTCTTATAACAAATAATTGATACATTAAGTAAAAAATCAGGTAAATAAGGAATGAATTGCATTCCCCTAGAGCACATGAGATGAAAAATGACCATTTATGCAATTATTAAAACAAATTAAGCTTATTCATTTTGAATTTGATGTATGTTTGCTTTTGGAATGTGCCATGCATTGATGCTAGCTGAATTAATCCAAGTAAATCTATTGAGCATATCTGCTGTCTTAACTTACTTAGGTTGTTTTCTGAACCCATAAGTAATTAACATTAAATTATAAAACTGCCTGTATAGTTATCAAAGAAACAAACATTAAAGGCCCAAACATGGCTAAATAATAAACAAAGGAATTCTTATTATATGAATTAAGCCATATTTCTAAATATAAATCACATAAAATATTATAACATAATAAATGTTTTTACATTACTTTTATTGTGTATTGAAACTCATGAGACTAAATTATTATTATCTATAGGAAGAAATAAAATAAATGGTTACAAAATAGTACATTTGCAGCAGATAACTGAAAATTGACAAAAGTACTTTTGATTTAAAAAACCTTACCAGAAAGAATTTTTTTCAAACATGTTCAATTGATGAATCAATTGTTTTCCCTGTTTAAAACTGTCTTTTTCTAAAGCATATCACCCATAATGCCTGAGGCATACTTGTCTCCAAACATTTAATTTTGGTCCTCCTCTTTTTCACTGATCCGTTCCTGGGGACATCACTCCACTGAGTGCCACACAGGCCTCAAGTCAGATTCATTAGGATGACAAGATGTATGCTGCTGAGGATGCTGTCAAAGATAAACAAAACCAGGGACTAAGTGAAATTATGAAGACAAATTTTCATCAAGAACTGACCAATACAATAGGGAGGATGGTGAGCCTGAGCTGAACTTAATTTGAATGTGTGCAGAGGTAGGTGGGGATTTTATTTTTTATTTTTTATTTTTCATTAAGTTTATTGGTACATTTCAAGCAAACAACACAGTTATATTTATCACTGGGATCTTTTACCTTTACATGGTATGCCTTGGTTCCTGTTTTTTCCCCATGCTCCTTCCCTCTCTTCACCCTTTCCTATTCACAAAGGCTTTGATTCCATCTTTTCCCTTTTTCACATTTTTTCTTTTCCCTTATTTCCTTTCCCTTCCCCTTCCCACTTCCCTTTTAGCCATTTTCACACTAGGTGGGGATTCTAAAGGGAGAATGAAATGAAGGGAATGGGGGAATGGCAAGGATTTGAGAAGAATCAGGGGAGGGGAAATTTGTAAAATTCAGGAAAAGGAAAAGGGGGTTGGTCCATGTGAAATCCGCCTGGATTTGATCACTGGAATTTATCAAAGTTAGGTTTCCACTCTCCTTTGGAGATGGAGATAGGGGCTCTGTTTCAGGTGTTGGCTAAAACAAAAAAACATTGTTTCAGCATATGTCAGTTTTCTCAGGCAGAAACTTAAGGGACAGGAGTCATCATCTTAGGAATGCTGGTTTGTGCTGTTAAACTAGTTAGTATATAGTCAAGTTTTTTTTAACATAGGGGTTAGGGATGAGTGAAATAATTTGTGTTAAGAGTCCGCCATTTGTGTGGACTTAGGCTTGGTTGAGAAGCAGCTCAGAGGAGACTAGCTAATGTTTCCTCAAGGAGAGAATCTTCTTTAATGCAATTTAGGAACCACACACACACACACGTACACCATAATCTCTGTCCCCTTCTCTGTCATTAACTTTATGTACACTCAGAAGCCAAGCCAGTAAACATCTAGGTCTAAACCAGGAGACTTCTCCAGGTTGTTTTCCAATCTCTAGTCACACTAAAAACCTGGGTCTGTTGATTCACCTTCTTTACTTCCATTACTTATTGGGTTCTGTTGGAGTTTTTTAACACAGCTCCAGAGTTATTGCATTGGTAGGGCTTGAACATACAACACAACAAAGAGCTTCTTAAGAAACTCTTCTCAGATTCTTTACCCAAAATCACTACTGGAATTTATGTCAGGGTGTAACCTCTAACAATAAGGATCTGGCCATAGACACTAACCTCCTGGGTACAGAGGCCAGATCCTTATTCTCAAGTACATCACAAGAAATACCCTTATTAACATTTAATGTAGGTACATACTTTAATGTGCAGTAATTTATAGGCTGGGCAGTTCATGGAAAAATCAAAGAATACCCCACCCCTTCAACCCAGTGCCACAGAGGAGCCCCTCCATGCAGGAGCCAACACAGCAGTGTTCATGCTGCCCCAACCACAGAAACAAGAGAAAGAGGGTCTCTCTGAGGCTCCTAGATAAAAATTGAAGCCCACTGAAAAAATGAAGAAAATCTGCAATAAAGACACACCATACCACAGAGTTGATAAGTCAGAGGGACCAGCACCTCACATTGGAACCCAGTCTAACTTCAGGAGAAAGACATCTGGAACCTGCAGTAGGACCTTATAGAGTTTAACCCAGCAGGAGGTCAGAGATCTCAACTTGGGCCTTGCAGACACAAATCAGCCTGAACTTCAGGGGACAGCTGCTGGCTTGCTGAGACTCATTAACTTAGACCTGCACTCCTGCCCATACCATCTATTGTGTCAGCACAGGCATATCCTAAAGAAGACCTGCTATTTCTAATATTTTTTATTTTCAAAGTAATATTTTTCTCGTATCTTCAATCATTAAAGAATTTTATCTATCGTTTTCTTTTCTCAATTTTTTTTCCTTTTTAACCTTCTTTTCCTCATCTTCTTTTCTTTCTCTCTCACACTCTCTCTCCCACTTTGATCTCCATTACTTTTCCTTTTTGTTCCTGTCTCTATCCTAATTCAAATTTATTTTCTTTCTTTTCCTTTTCTTCTCTTTTTCCATCTCTCAATTGCCATTTTTTAAAAGTAATTACAGTCTCAAGCCTCCCTATTGCTGTTAGTTTGTTCTGTTCTTAGGTATATTTTGTTCTTTCTCCTCTTCTCTTCAACAGTGCCCTAGATTTTGTGTGATCTTCCTGTGTCCTCTGACATCACTTTTAAACTTTCTCTATCTTATCTATCTATCCCTCCCTCCCCAACTACTTCTAAATTTCCATCCTGAAGGGTAAAGTTGCTATGTTGAAGAATTTATTCACTATAAACATTTTGGGAGCTGGTCTTCCTTTTGATTTAATTCCCACAGTTAAAGGTGATAGATTACTAACTGTCACAAATTGTGATTTTCACAAATTGTGCTTGATGCTATTGTGTTGTTGATTGTATCACTTGGGCTAACATACTGCAATTAATCTAGTCAGTTGGCCTCCCTGGTATAATGAAAATGAGATTGTCTCAGAGTCATTGGAGACTCAAAACCTAAAGACTGGTTGTATCTGGAAGATTGAAGTATTAACCTAGGAATTAAACCAAGGACATGACCAACAACAAAAATAGAAATGAGAAGGCATTTAAACAAGACACAAACACAGACTTACACACAACCGAAGGTAAATTCTGGGGAAAATGAGGTGGAAAAAATCTGACAGTCAGCCATCTGGACAACTTGAACCAATAGCACAGGAAGTAAATAAGCAGATAAATGAGTATCTAGAAAAATTCAAAATAGAAATTATTTTCAAGATAACCACAGAAATGGTGAGAAGAATGAAAGACATCATTAGAG